ATAAGGTGGAGTGGCTGAAAGAACTGGGGTTTGACCATGCATATAATTACAAGACTGTTGATTTGGCTGCATCGCTCAAGGAAGCTGCCCCAAATGGTGTTGATTGTTTCTTTGACAATGTGAGACTATACTGTTTTTACTCACCAAGCTGTTTAACAAACCTCCTATGCTGTTTCCTTGCCAATGTTGAATGAATTTATGAGACCATTATGCTGTTGCTGTGACTTTGACAGGTTGGAGGGGAGATGACTGCTGTGATAATGCAGCACATGAATACCTTTGGTCGCATGGCTATCTGTGGAAGTATCAGTGGTTATAATGATGACCGTGCAAATATGCCAAAAGGTGAGAGGCACACTTGTTCCTTTATGACTTTACTTTCTTGGGTCTTCCAAGAAATCTAAATTTGCCATTCATTCATGAAATTGAAGTGAAGTCAGTGTTGCAGTGATTAACATATGCATCTGACATGTGTTAGCATGGTGCATCATAAAGTTGAATTGCATATTTTTGTTATTTACAGAAAAACTACCTATTGGATTTTTTTTTCTGTTTTTTTTTTCTGGCATTTCTGGAGGATAGTTTGTAATACTCATGTGCATAATGGGCGAAAGGTCTATCCTTACCTAATAAAAATTTTTTAAATTACGCATTTACTGAAAGTTAGTGTCTAATTCATCCAGAACATATTCTATTGTGATTTAGGGACTTGGGCTTTAAAGAGAAACATCTGTAGACTTTTCTGTTGTCTCTAATTTTTACATTCAGAAACAGTATCTCTGTCTCTTGATAGCAATAAAATACTCTTTGTGATATATATGAGTGGAGGAATGGAATGTTTCAGTGGCTTTTTAAAAATACATTATGGCAGTGCCTCAGTGGACTCTTGTCGTGCTGTCTAAGCAACTTCGTATTGAAGGCTTCAGTGTTTTGCGTTGGATGGATCGATGGAATGAAGGAGTGCAACAGATGGCAGAATGGGTCAGGGAGGTAAGAACAAGTGATTTTGCACTTTTTAGCTGCATCTAAATATGAGGTGTAGACCAAGTCCCATTGGGATTAGGAAGCTCTTAATCAGCAGAGAACATATGTTTTAACAAGCAAATGAAGTCTCTACAATTTTAATCTAATTTTTGTGACTACCTTATTATTGAATTGTTCCTGGTTGGGAGGACCTATTTTTGTTCACTGCAGAACTTGCAGCTCTCAGATTCTTTTTGATGGCTGATTATTTGCTTATGTAGTGTATGTTAGTTTTGCATTTGCACTTGTTCATGTTTCTTTCAAATTTAAGGCAATTCTAAGTTAAGAGACTCATTCTACCACTTCAGGAGATGGATTGACTAGTGAGTGGACAGACTCAGTAATCACCCAATAAAAATTGCTAGCCAATGCTTGTTCATGCAAGAAATTCTGAATTACTGGGAAATGTAACTGGAATATGCCTGTAAATGTAAAAAAAAAAAAGTTATTTTTATTTTGGTTTTATTTCTTTTCATCTAAAGTTCTTTCCCATTATGCATCTCTTGTTCTGTTCCTATAGGGACGATTGAAGTATCGTGAGACGGTGACAGCAGGATTTGAGAAAACCCCTGAGGCTTTCATAGGCATGCTCAAGGGGGAAAACACTGGGAAGGCTGTAGTGAAGGTAAACTTCCATGGGTGTGATTAGCACCCAATCTTGCCATATCAAGATTTTATCAACGTGTACCAAGCTGTTTTTTGCTATTGTTTATTCAGTTCGTCCTGACATTTCTTTGGCAAGCTAGCCCTGTATTACAAATCAAGGAGTGAAATCTTGTAGCGAACCCCAGGGGGTCACAAGATATGGGGCACGAATGCCTCGCTACATATGGAGATCAGACCCAATGTGGTC